TTTTCTGTGCCAATTCGTTTTTTTGTTTTTCAAAAACTGAAGGGGGGGGGGGGGGGGGGGAATGCATTCCTCGAGGTTTCTGCGCCTGCAGCTGGTCCGTGTGTCTCACCTGGTAGTTTGAGGTAGAGATCGGACTCCCGATCGTGCTGCTGCCGCTTGTGAAGGACTCTGGCTGGGCCGGAGAGGTGCTGCTGCCGCGGGACGAGGTGTCGTAGTTCCCGGAGTAGTCCTGGTACATGATCCGGGACAGAGGAAGATTTCAGGGGACTGTTAAAGCTCTGGAGCCTTTTTTTTTTCTTTCTTATTTCCCCTCCCCTCTCTCACACACACAATTCCCCCGCTGTAAAAAAAAAAGGCACCAGCAAGAAAAAAAAAAAAAAAATCCTCTTATTGGAGATGTTCAGGTATCCAAGAGCGAGTTATCAAAGTGCAGTAATGACACCTGATCTAAAACATCTTAAAGATGTTTGCAGGTTGTGTCAGGTAGCCCTGTGAGAAAAGTATTTTCTATTGTGCTTTCAGGTAGACGAGGCTATCAGAGATCCTCTCAGGTGCGCAAACTTCAGCCTGAAGTCAACAGTCAGTGTGACTCAGGCAGGTTTCTTCTGAATATTTTCCGCCGCCTTGCCTACTTACTCTGCTCTGAGCTCTCTCTGTCGCTCACGGAACACCTCGAACTTTTTTTCTTTCTTTCCCTTTTCACCCCACTTCCTAGAGATGACTCACTTCAATGGCACTAAGAAGAAGCGCGACGGCTTTTCAACACCAACGAAACGTCCGACGTCACGGCGGGGCGTTGCAAACATCCAGCAGGGGGAGGGGTTCGCTCCTCTTGTCTTGTGGATCACAGCAAAGAGAGAGCAGAGCTCGTTTCTCCCCCGGTGGACACCAGAGACTAAAGATCCAAAACGTGGTTTACAGTTAAAGCGGGGTTTTTTTTTATTATTATTATTTTATTTTTGGTATCGGCGGACGTCAGCGATCCGCTGTGGACTTCACCGGTTTTGTCTCACTTTCTTCGGCCCATTGACGCATGTTTCCTAAAATGGGCAGTTGCGTCAGCGAGCGCGTGTGGGTTTCCTTGGTAAAAAAGAAAGCGTCAGACACTGGAGGGATTCCCTCCCCTTCATCTGCAGCCCGCCGGACCCACAGCTCTCAGAAAGCGCTCCGGCCGCCGGGGGTCCGGTTTCGGTTACTAATCAGGGAAAACATTCAAACTGTGGGAAGTTTATAGAGGCACTCTGAGGTCCCAACAGTCTGGATGATCCGACACTGACAGGGGCGTCTCCAGAACGATTTGTGAGGGGCGAATCTTGGAGTCCATAAACATTAAATGCGATCATCTTGGATTGGTGTCGAGATATCTATGTTACAGTGTAAATACACTAAATATGTGCTTTATAAAGATTTTAAAAACTGATATTAGTTTGAATGTATGTTGTTTTACTCCACTCCAACTTGTAAAGTCATTGCTTGTTTCATATTTTCTATTTGTTAATCTTCTGAAGACTGTTTTGTGTGTGTGTGTGTGTGGGTGTGTACTGGTATAAACTGCATATAGAGGACCACTTTCACATCATTTACCAACAAAGGGAGGTCATTTGTGGAAACGAGGACATTTTCCTGCTTCTCACTTTTTTTGCAGTTCTACTAGTTCTGCTAGTTAGGTTTAGAAGTGTGGAGTGAATCAAGTTTTTATTTAAGATTATGGTTAGGAATAAATGCAAAGTCCTCAGTTTGCATTCAAGTGCGTGTGTGAAGGTAATACCAAGTTCAGCCAGTTGGAAAAACAAATGTTATTAAACACAGATAGATAGATCAGTAGAAAGACCAATAGAGTTTGAACCTTTCCAAAGAAATTAAACATTTACATTAAATATTGTAGGTTTATTTTTACCAGAGATAGAAGATCTGTACAAAATCCCCTCCAAATAAATATTAAAATACTTTAACTAAGATTTCTAACTAGCTGATCCCCCATCCAAACTATCCAAGCGCTCTGACCTGCACAGAGTGGTGGTGTACCCACAGGGCACAGAAATAAGATGTATCCCTTTAAGAGAGTACTCAGCTCATTATGTGTGAGAAAGGCACTTGTTACAGAATCAGCCTGTTTCATTCGAACCACTCCATTTCGTCACCTCAGGCAAGTCCAAAGACCTGTCAAAGGTTGCCAGGGATCCTTGTAAGACTAGACCATCATTATGAATCTTGGTGAGAGAAGAAAACACTTCTGGGGTGATATTTTTGAAGTAGAAGTAAAAGATAATGGTCACTCTTACTATGGAGTGCATGCAGAATCTCACCTCAAAGGTGATTCTGAGAAAGTCAAACTAGAATTAAATGGAAGAAGATTATTAATGATATGAAGGGAGCTGTGGCCACTGCCACAGGAAAACCATTGGTAAAGCTTCTCAGAACAATTGAGAAGGAAGAAGCAGGTTTAATTGGCTGTTACTGTTTCAAGAGCTTTCTTGCTTATACTTTGGGTTGGCTCCGACTGAACGTACAATTTTACAGTCACAATTGTGTTTTTTGCCCAATGTCTCTAAGTCCCATTGTGTGTAATTAGGAGAGAGCGGTCAGATTCAACACGGCAGCACTGATTAGGTCAGCACAACAAATGCTGGAGCTGAATCTCTGTGAAATGTGGGCTAATTGTAATTCGGACGCACCTCATGAACAAGGGCATAGCGCCCAGAATGTGACACGTTCCGCAATATAAAATGTCCTATTAAGTGTAATCCAATCTGCTACGGTTCCTATTTTAATCTGCATCACCACAGCTGGGTGTTCTGAGCTCCTAAAGCTCCTTCCAGCATGAATGTTTGCCAGAAACACTCGTCCTGGTGAATAAAAGTTTATTTACTTACTAATTTATTTTCAAACTAGTGGAGAGGGGGAGGGGCGGAGTGATTGTTGTGGCAAAGCTGACCAATGTTTAAATAACGGCCAGATTTTTATTTTTTTTGGTCCCTTTCTTACATGTACTGCTTGGTCATTGTTGAATTCAACACATCTGGTAACACAAAATGAAGTGAATTGACCGAAACAGTTCATTAGAACACTGACAAGTTGATTTATATCAATGCTTCAAATCATAAAGCTAATTTCATACTATTTGATAAATGTAATTTATTTTGTACATATGTACATTTAGCTTTGGTAATTATAATTTGTATTTGAAGAAAACTACTTCAAAATTCATCATCTCAGAAAGTTGGTGTGTTGCATAAGTCTGACAAATGATTTGATAACAAAATATGGCCAAAAGAATCACGAGAAAAAGACTGAAAATATCAGTTATTGTCCAGGAAATAGTCTCACGTAATGTCATTTTTTTCAGAAACTGAATCTTGGGATTTTATAAGCTGCAACACAGAAATGCAACACAAACTGTTACCTGTTGGATCCATTTTAGTTACACATTTGTATTCAGAATCACTTAAATAGATGTACTTTTTCATCATATTGCAATTTACTGAGTTGCCTCTGAACCTCTGCTCAGAGTCAAATGACTAACTGTTCATGTTCTGAAATGTTCATGTTGAGAACATGAACATTTCAGCTGTAACACTGCAGTCCTGCAACATGTGAACCCTTGGCAGACTCACTGGAAGTCCTTTGTTGCTGCATTAGCTTTTGAGTTGCGCTGCCTGGATGTGCTGCTGTTCCCAGGAGCAGAAAGCGTGCAGATGTTTCATACATCTCTATTTGAGTGATATTAATTTATGATGAATGCTTAGCCTGTAATATGCCAGCGGCGCAGCTTTTTGAACGGGAGCAGTGTTGCTAAGCGACACAGTTTCTGCTAAATTGCTCGAGGGGAATCTAATCAGCCATAGTCCTATAATAATTAATGCCTTAAATATCATCTGAGCTGCTGCTGGCGGCAAAACACGGTCTGATGTGTTGACAGGTCCCGATAAGAGTCCAAATCTTTGGTTTAAGTGAACATAAAAAAGAAGCGAAAATACATCAGACTCTAAAGGTCCTATCTATGGGGTCACGGTCAGGTGAGAGTGAAGACGTGGGTCAGCGCGCGCGCATTGAGGTCAGCCGATGCGCAGTTTGCGCGCCACTGACGCGTCTATGTCCAGCCATCACACATCAGAAGGAATCAGGTGCGTAGAACATCTCCTCTAGGAATTATAACCAGCTGTAAGACTGCAGAACAAGAAGCTTACCTGGCCGCGCGACGGAGGCTCGTGACGCAAGATGGCTCGTGCCTAAAGCTCCCTTCAGGGTATCACGTGATAAATCTGAACCTGAAAAGTAAAGGCTAGTCTGTGTCTTAGAAGTTAAAAGGCAGTAAAATCGGGCCATAAGTAACGAAAAATATAGTTTTAAGAAGTTTTGGTCTGGATTAACAAGATGGAGCCTATTCCTTATAGCTTATCTGGATATAAAGAAAATATCTAGGACTATTCTCTCCAGACGATTAAAGCCTCTCAAAGAAGGTCAGTTACAGTGGAAAAAAAGAGCTATTGTACGATTATGCAATTGAAAAGAGCAAATAGTTAGTTTTGCTATTTCATATCCCAATGAAATGCATACAATTTTGTGGTTATAATGTAACAAAAAGCAAAACAGGTCAAGGTCAATACATTTCAAGGTGTTATGTCAGCAAGTCTTTTTTTTGTTGTTGTTTTAAAGAAAAATGTCTTTCATTTGTTCCAGGAGCTCATGTTTTTGTCTCATATGACATTTAAATTGATAAAAATCAGTTTTCTTCCACATTCTTTTCTAGTAGAAGCCAAATGCCTCACGGGAAGTGAGAGCAGCGGGTTCCTAGAAAACAAGAGTTGCTGCTGAATATTTAGTCCCATTTTCTTTACATTACAAACACTAATGTCACACTGATGCTCTGAAATAACGGCTATGCAGATTTTGACAATACATTGATTTGAATGTAGATGTAACTGAGATGAGCTTTCTGTGTTTGAGCAAGAATCCAAGCTGCTTCTGCAAAATTAGATGCATCCAGGATGGATTTCCGACCCCTGATTCTCTTTATTGCTAAACGTTATTGAAACAGGTGTTTACCTGAGATCAGTGTTTGAGTTTAGTTTTTGTTTTGTTTTTTGTTTTTTTTGCCCTTGCATTCTTTTGGTCGCTTTCGCCTGTAGCGTCATTCACCTGTCATGCAGTAAAACCTTAGCCTGGATAATACTCAGCGCGATCAGCATGGCTTATCTCTCGGCTCAGGTGCTGTCAGTGGGACATACGTAGGCACCAAAGTGCTGACTCAGACTGAGGAGACTGGGTTAAAGAGCAATCAGCATGACTGACAGCTGGGTTTATTATCGTGTGAGTGGCCTGTTTACACACTTACTGCGCTGTTTTGTTATGCAATGCCACAAAGAAACGGTGAAACGTGTCTGCAGCAAAAAGAGGGGTGAATCTAGAATCGAACAACAGATTTGGTTTTGTTTGTTTGTTTGCGTTAAACTCACATGTTCCATCTCATCTCAGTATTTTGTGCAGTTCTGACTTTAAAACAGAAATCCAATCACAGACCACCCGCTGTGCAGGAGCGTGGCTTTAAGAAGTGGCTGCTGTGAATTAAAGCAACCCTCCATCCGTGGTTTCATTTACCCGTTGCCTTGGTGACAGATGCAGTTCAGTCTACTTTAGCAAATCAAAAGGAATAATGTGAATGTCCATGACCTCCAGAGAGCACGACTGTAGAAAGAGGAATATGGATTTGTCGAATCTACTGCCCTGCAGTTTGGTCAGTTGCAGGAAAAAAAAAAAAAAAAAATGGATTTTTGTGTACTGTAAGACTAATCAAGTTTTTCTAAATGTTGTACACTTCACCTACGATGTTGTTTGAGAACTTCCAGCTTTGATTGGATATTTACATTAGATATGCAAGTACCCAGTAAAATGGAACAATCTGCTGTTTGTGGTATGCATATATTCAGAGCTATAGATTATGTAAGAGATTCCATTTCCATTAATATTAGTCAGGGTTAAAAGAAGGAGAAAGTCTTTCCTGTAGGGCTGAGATGTGTTGCGACCTGAAACCTGCCTACGCATCGCTCCATCTGGATGTAGAGATGACGCTCCCTTTACTGTAAACAAATGGTTAACTTCTTTTCATGAAACAAGTCATTGTCCCCTTTACCTGAATAATAAGAGCAGATCCGCAACCAGAAGGAGGATTTTTGGTTTTGCCTCTCCGCTGTCTGACTTCAGCTTTGTCTTCAAAGATTTAGTCTGTTATTTTAACCTACAGCCCTGTTTAATCAGGTGAACCACCTGCCCTGATGCCCAAAAGCTTCCAATCAGCACACTTGAGTGACTCTTGACAGTAATTTCAGCAGCTTTAAGGTATCAGTTCCTGATACAATGGAAGGAAGTGCGTCACAGCTCGAGACAAAGAAGAACGGAACACGACTCGGGGCACAAACAGCTCCGGGTAAGAA